GAGACGTCATTACACTTGGCGGAGGTTACACCAGATATTGTGCTCGGCTATTGATAGTTTTGATAAGTTCCTTTGCTACGGTTGATATAGAGGACACTAAACGACCTTCCGTGTAATACCGATGGCCTATGTTGAATAAACCACTTGACTAACTTATTAAACGAGTTAATGATTTGGTATGAAATGAGCGAAAGCGAGTTTGATACTAAATCTTGACGAGTTTAATAAAAATGGAGTTTAGTAGCGAGTTTAGTTTTCTATTTATTACCCTCCAACATAAATTGATAGAAACTGCCTACAGTGTGATGACTCTCATATCAATTTTCCGCAAGTCAAGCAAGGTCTAATACCATTGCGACAGAGGCATTAGCATTGTGACGTCAAAACTGTAACCATTATGACGTCATATGTCTAGCAGTATTACACTAGTGTAATATTGCCGTAAAAATATTACACTGCAGTATCTTCCACGGGCGTGAACATATCAACTTTGTCAGTCCACTCTATGAAATATACATGTTATTTGACAACATTAACAAAATATTCTATTTATCATATTTTGATCATTGTTTATAAATGATCGAGACATCGAGTAAGTCTGCATTTTATTACGCAACTCAACTACAGTCTAGCCCTTGAGTTCCAGGCAAAAGTGATATTCTACTCAGTGAAATAACATGTTATTCTACTCAGTGAAAATACCATTTATATTTTCATCAATATTTACAGTATTTTTCACCCTTAAGAATATAATAAAATGACATATTCACACTATGAAGTGATGCGAAACTGTTCTAATAAATATACATGTATATGCATACTAGATAGTAACTGCATGACTTCTTGATACTGAACTCGCCTTAGTTGCATAATTACCGATAAACCACCACATTGAGCATACATCAGTGTTCATACATCTGACCTATAATTAGCCCTGAACCTTTCACCCTCACTTATAGTCGGTATAGGTGCTCAATAACATCCTGTTACTCTTCATGTCATTTTGTGGAAGAAAGAGGAATGGTTGCTCCACAGACACACACACTCAGTAATGTCACACTGCTTGCAGTGTTTTCCAGCCTGTCCCAAAAGAATGGACTCTGTTTTCTCTTAATTTAATTTCAAGGCATTTGATGACATCCATGAATATCTTCTGGCAACAGTCTGATGTCTGACAGAGAGACGCTCTATAGCTGACTCTGTGTTTATTGAAATAACTTCCACAGCTGCAGTATCATCTGCGTAGAAGTGGTCAAGATTAAGGTTTGCTACAACAAAGCCAGCCAAGTGGAAAAGTGTAGAGGGTGAAGAGGATCGGACCAAGCACGGATCCTTGAGGGACTCCGCACTCAAGCCTAGATGCGGTTGACACAGATTCACCAACAACAACGGTTTGAGTCCTGTCCTGTAGATAAGATGCCAGGCAGGATAAAGCTGAATCCAAGTTCTGTAACAAGTCTTTTGAGGAGTCTCTGGTGATCAGTCGTGTCAAAGACACTGCTTAGGCCAAGTAATGTGAGCAGGGCCACTTGTCCTGTGTCAATACCACATCGTAGGTCATCTCGGATCTTCAGCAGGGCCGTCTCTGTGCTGTGGTGTGCTCTGCAGGCTGATAGGAACACCTCATAGAGGTTATGCCAGGAAAGGTGGCCCATGAGACAACTGGAGACTGCACGTTCAATGAGTTTGGATATATATGCTAAGTTTGAAACAGGCCTGTAGTTTTTTGGATCCTCCTAATCAAGGCTTGATTTCTTCAGATGTGGCCTAACTAGAGCTAACTTGAGTACTCTTGGGGCATAACCAGATGAAGTAGAAGAGTTAATAATCAGCACTAATGTTGGTAAATATCAGTGAAACTATCAATATGAGTAAGAGGCGTGCCATCAAACATTTTTGGAGGAATATCAGCTTCATCCATAGCCGCAGAAGACGAAATTTTGTCATGAATGTTCTTGGATCTTTTTGTAGAAATAATCCGAAAATGTCTGTGCTATTACTTCATTGTCATCAGATGTCGGAAGTGTCGATTCAAAGTGTTTACTCAAGATACTGAACAAAAGTTTGGACAGCAACTTTGGACTTGACTCGTTGGCTTCAATCTTAGAATTGAGATGTTGATTTGTCTGATGACCGTTGTTGAGTGATTTTTGGCTGAAATATGCATTTGGAGATGAATCTCCAGGAAAGATTGCTTTCCATCTGCGTTCTGCTTTTCCCTCTTGTCTTTTTCGCTTGTCGAACTTCAGGTGTGAAGTCCCAAGCAGATGTTTTAGTGACCGGTATGACTCTGTCCTTCACTGGTGCATGTTTGTCTATATAGCAGCTCAGATAGAACTCTATTGTATAGCAGAACGAGACTCTCAGCGTCAAATGGTGGCTCAAGTATAAGGTCTGAGTTTAGCAAATTGTCTTCTTTAAAAGTATCCATATCCAGGGAGCGCATGTTCCTACAGCGAGTAATCTTCACATTTGGACTGGGTATTGAGAGGTCCAAGCTCACAAATACATGGAAATGGTCAGAGAGCTGTAGATCCTATACAGGTACACAACTGACACACGCGTCTGAATCACGGGTAACTATCCAGTCCAGAGTGTGTCCACCTCTGTGGCTTGCCTCTCCCGACACGAGTTGTACACAGTTGTGGACTTCAAGAAGATTAATTATTCGTTTAGTGTCATGGTTATCCTTGTTGTCAAAATGGAAATTGAAGTCGCCTACGATGATAATAGCTACTTCGCCAACTTATCCAGTCTGTGCCGAGACGGTGCCGAGCAGTAATTGCTGCCAATGGTGGCCATACAAAGAACTGACTTCGACGCCATCTTGTGGACTCAAAAGAACAGAAACACAACAGTAAAGGCTTTGTCTATAGACGTTTGAATTTTCACCTTTTTACCATTGGGATTACATGAAATAATAGCTCTTAAACTAATGCAAGAAATTCTTCTAAAAATGGCTTTGTGCGTTTCTTTTTAGAAGAGTATATTTCTGGGTTACCATTGTTTTGATGACTCTCATTTTCAGTCAATTTTCCTTGGATAGAGCTCAAGCAAGGTCTAATACCATTTTTTTAACTCCTTTAGGCATTAGCATTGTGCTTTCGTCAAAAAACTGTAACCATTATGACGTCATATGTCTAGCAGTATTACACTAGTGTAATATTGCCGTAAAAATATTACACTGCAGTATCTTCCACGGGCGTGAACATATCAACTTTGTCAGTCCACTCTATGAAATATACATGTTATTTGACAACATTAACAAAATATTCTATTTATCATATTTTGATCATTGTTTATAAATGATCGAGACATCGAGTAAGTCTGCATTTTATTACGCAACTCAACTACAGTCTAGCCCTTGAGTTCCAGGCAAAAGTGATATTCTACTCAGTGAAATAACATGTTATTCTACTCAGTGAAAATACCATTTATATTTTCATCAATATTTACAGTATTTTGCACCCTTAAGAATATAATAAAATGACATATTCACACTATGAAGTGATGCGAAACTGTTCTAATAAATATACATGTATATGCATACTAGATAGTAACTGCATGACTTCTTGATACTGAACTCGCCTTAGTTGCATAATTACCGATAAACCACCACATTGAGCATACATCAGTGTTCATACATCTGACCTATAATTAACCCTGAACCTTTCACCCTCTGGGGAACCAGGCCAGTCACCCTCACTTATAGTCGGTATAGGTGCTCAATAACATCCTGTTACTCTTCATGTCATTTTGCCAGAGTTAAATCAAGTTGGTATTTATAGCCATATTGTTATTTGCTTATATACTTCCAATCAAAAGTTTAGACACACATAAAACACTCATGTCATTTTGCCAGAGTTAAATCAAGTTGGTATTTATAGCCATATTGTTATTTGCTTATATACTTCCAATCAAAAGTTTAGACACACATAAAACACTCATGTCATTTTGCCAGAGTTAAATCAAGTTGGTATTTATAGCCATATTGTTATTTTTGCTTATATACTTCCAATCAAAAGTTTAGACACATAAAAAACACTCACTATATATATATATATATATATATATATATATATATATATATATAAAGCGAGAGAGTGATGAGAATACCGAGCGTACAGTAGTACATATATAAGAAGTTTCTGAAATAATCTGAAGATAAAGTGAAACATGTTGGAGAAGATCAGTGTCGTGTGATTTTTTCAGAAACGTCTTCTTATATATATATATATATATATATATATAGATACATAGATATATATACACACATATAGTTACATTGAAGATTGATTTCTCCACTAACTTGGAGAACTTGGGAGAACCAACTGCAAACCTTATGCAGATGAATTGCACGAAGATCATGCATCAAATTGCTGAATAGCATGTGCAATTATCGTGCATGTGTACAGCTGCGTTTTGGTGTAACGTTTTGTTAAGAATTCGCCAATTTTCACGGATTTTTATCATTTATTGAACTCATGACAATAATCTTTTCAACGTTACGAATTTGTTTTACAATACATCAGTTCATGTGTAAACAACTTACCTTTACACAGTATGGAATATTTAGCAAAAAATAGTTTAGAACAGTTGCCTGAAGTAAGTGCAATTTACACTAGTGAGTCTCAACTTTTGATGGGAAGTATATAAACCATTATAACTCTATAACAGGAGCGGTTATGTAACCCTGACATGTGTATTTAGTAACATTATATGTTTTCAGATTTGCATGTGTTTCTAGGACACGTTGACATTTCATTCACTACGTCAGTTTGTCACTGACAATAAAGGCAATACTTACTTACATGCTCCCCTGGGTGACGGGACGCAGTTATGTAACAGGGGTGTTTGAAAAGGACACCTTTGAAAATTCACCGAGAATTTACAGTCGATCGTGTCTCTGAACGGTAACCTGTCAGCTGAATCGACAAGCTTACCCTCCCGTGAGTGACCACTATAGGTTGGGACGGGCGTTATAAGTTGATTGAACTCACCGTTGATGACGATCGTTTCATGCTGACGGTCCAACAGTCGCGCTGATCAGCTTTCACAAATGGGCGGACAGTACAGAGTTATCATTCCATGACATGATATCAACTGGCAGTAACGAGGACACCTGCACTCTGACCGCGGAGGAAAGTTGCTGTGTGGAGCTCTGTTACTTTCGCAATGCAAATACTGGAGTGTGCACGTGACCCTCCATGGTTGGGCAGTTCAAATGTGGGTCGTAATTGTACCACGTGGTTTGACTGGGGTGTCATGTGTTCAAAGCTTGAAGACGAATACAACAATCAGACATAAAGTAGAAGGTAAATAAGAATAAATATACACCCACTGATAACAAACGATCGACGGATGCAGTTATCAAACATAAAGAAGCAGGTGATTTACATCACAGGGGCGCCCTAGTACTATATAAATAGTACTATATAAATAGTACTTGGGTGAGCAGGTAAAATGACGATCGCTTCTGAGATGCTGCACTATCACGTATATTTGTAGGCTGAATAATGTGTTGTGGACCCACTGTCTGACTTCTGTATTTGAAGAGACAATAGCCTAACAATAACAGCTATAACAGGTATCTTTCAATATTAAAAACGCTGGATTTTGAGTCTGAAACATTTACATGCTATCATTTTTGCTAACAGATATGTGCATTGTATATTTCTGTATTTTTTTTTGAATTATGTGTATTTACAATAACAAAAAAGTGAATGGTGATTTAGTATGTTTTGAAATATATATAATAAATTGTTTGGAAATTGAATTCAAAATTGAAAGTGTAAACTATTTCATGAAATGATCTGCTGTAGTGTACTTTTTCATTCGCAACTCGTGTGAGTGAGTGAGTTAAGTTTTACGCCACACTCACCAATATTCCAGCTATATGGCGGCGGTCTGTAAATAATCGAGTCTGGACCAGACACTCCAGTGATCAACTCTAATATACGTAATGACTTGTGGCATTGTATAAGTGGTGATCAACAGCATATCGATCTACGTAATTGGGATACGATGACATGTGTCAACCAAGTCAGTGAGCCTGAACCACCCGATCCCGTTAGTCGCTTTTTACGACAAGCATGGGTTACTGAAGATCAGTTCTAACCCGGATCTTCACGGGAACGTACCTCCTAGGGGGGGTATTCCCATACTGCCTACAGGTTAAAACAACATGATACGGTCCAGTGATCAGGAAGTGAATACACCGATCTGACCTGTTCTACACCTGCTAAAGTGAACTTGTAGTTAGCTATGGTGTCTTCCCACTCTGCCTACAGAAGTTTAAAAAAATGACAAGGGTTGGTTGGTAGGACATCTTTATTCATTCTGAGAATTCTCAGACTTTACATGGAGACATGGATTTATCATGAAAAAAGGTTTTATAGTCTTTCAGTGGTCTTACAGTCTTTTCACTCACAACTGACAATCACGTTGCAAACTTGATGAGATGTCCAGCAGCATCAAGGTACTGAAGAGGCGTTTTTCTGCCGCTCTGGAGGTGCTCCTTCAGTCTCAGAAGTCTCGCATCGAGCTCTCTGTAAACACGCTTGCGTGACTTGGGGAGGGCACCACAGTCGAGCTGAGCACGTTTAGCTTTGTCTACGGCTTCGATTTTCTTGATGTTGCAGATGAAGAGGTAGATGTTTGGGTGGGCTTTGGCAATAAGGTTTTTCAGCTTCAGGTGCCACCCCTCAAGGTGGTTGTTAGTCCGCGGGCCAATATTTCCATACTGCGTCGAGATCCGTACCGGAAATTGTGCCTCATAGTCCACCCATGTACTCGTGACGTAGTCGTTGAAGTTCCTGACCTTCTCTGTCTCCGGTCCTTCGTCCATGGCAGCGATCCAAGTGTCCTGCACCACGTCCCTATGGAAGTAGTGGAAGGGCAGATCTTCTCAACAATTTAGTCCTTACCATGCTTTTCGACATAATCTGACAAAGACAGACAAAGCCTGTAACAACATAGTTAAAACAAGCCTACCCAACTTGATCAAATAGGATTAAGTTAATCCGGCTTTGGAGGTTACAATATAAGCATGCTAACTGCTTCCCAAAACAAAATAAAACAATATCATTGTACTTGTAGTCTTTATTGGATGAGAAGACTCAAAACACACTATACACAGAAGTAGATGCACATATATATACTAATATAATCCCCCTAATTATCCCCTACTCCAAACGAAGCACCCCTTCTTCATTGATACTCGGGCTGTTCCATTATTCTACAGGGCAAAAAATCTTTTCCCACGCTGCCTACAATGTTTTTGTTGGCAGTTTGGAACTGTAGGCAGTATGGGACCTAACTCTCGTGAGCAACGATTCTTCCGAGGTAACTGTTACACGGAAAGCGGACATAGTAACTTCAATTCCTAATATCTAAACGACATAAACATAAAAAGATATATGTAAATAAATGTACAGTTATGCGTAACGTTATTCATTCATTACGAAAAAATAGCGTTACACAAATGACGAAAATCTAAATACATGTGACGTCAGTCTACATATATGTTACTGAGCACTGATAAAGCTACACCGTGAAATAAAATGCGTGAAAAAAAATAATTTTATGTTAAAGTAACGCAAACTCTACATCAAAACTTAAACTGAAAGAAATAGCCTTTCAACTCCTTCAAGCTCTTTGACTAAACTGCATTTTATTTTGTGCGCTTTGAGAATGCGCATGGATATCTGCGCGGTACAAATATGCAATTATTATTATGAAATACGAAAGTACGATTGTGTGTACGTTTATTTAAGCTACCTGAACCTAGATGAAATTACTACATATGTACAACAATGAAGGATGGTCTACCTTTAGAAGTCAGCACCACACGCTTTAAATACACGTCACAATACTTTATGACATAATTTGTGAAATTCTGTTGCAAAACACACTGGCGAAACAATAGGCCGTGGCGGCCTATCTCTCATATCATATACCAGCCGGTACAGGCCAAAGAGCTATAATAAGCTGGTTCCAGGCGCGTTTTTAGTTTGCGCCACAGCTGGGATGTTTTTTGAATGAATGTTGTTTGCAGTGTGAAAGCTTCGTGTTAATGTTCCGTGAGTAATTAATTATGGATCAAACAAACCAATCCTGATCATCTGATACTTATTTTAATTGATTCTTGAATAATGTGAGTGAGTGAATTTAGTTTTACGCCGCCTTTAGCAATATCTCGGCGGGATACACCAGAAATGGGCTTCACATTGTACCCATGTGTGACTCGAACTCGGGTCTTCGACGTGACGAGCGAACGTTTTAACCACTATGCAACCGCGCCGCCCCTGCTTCTTGAATATAGCTTCTGGTACTTTTGCAGATGTAAAAATGGGAATGCGTAAATGTTATTTCTACATGAATAATCTTAACTTGCCTTCAAGACAGACACAGCCTCCGGCCAAGCAGTTTGATCGCATCTAGCAACTATGAATGTAAATTTGTCATGTTCATGTTTATAAATTCTGAGAAAACATTCATGATTTTTTCTCAAGTAATTCTAATAGTCAAAGGGGCACTTACATCATTGCTGAATGGTGTGTGTGTGAGAGAGAGAGAGAGAGAGAGAGAGAGAGAGAGAGAGAGAGAGAGAGAGAGAGAGAGAGAGAGAGAGAGAGAGAGAGAGAGAGAGAGAGAGAGAGAGAGAGAGAGAGAGAGTATAATGATTATAAGTATAATAACAATTCCTTCTACAACAAAAATCAGATTCATGGTAACATTTACTGATATCAATTTCATTTTGCTCCAAGTCTTGAAATAGCCAATATAGGCACAAATGTTCTTTAGATATTCCTTATTATGTAAATGTTCAAAGCCACATCACATGTCCATTTGGTACAGAGTGAACAACAGTCTCTTGATGAAGCTGAAGACACTGCAGCAGCATGCTGTCTCAAATGACTGTGGCTGACTTAGTTCTTCCAGGTGGCTCACGTCAATCAGAACATATGAATCAGATTCTGTTTTTACAGGCTGAACTGCAAATGGTGATGTGGGATCTCCCAAGTCTATCTCAGGGATGTCCTGCTCCAAGTACATGGAGGAAAGTACTGTAAATGGTTTTGTGGGATCTCCCAAATCTATCTCAGTGTCCTGCTCCAAGTTCGTGGAGGAACCACACAGTGACCAAAGGGCAGGGTTAGGGAGAGGGATCTGGGCGAAGGGTGGGGAATCAACTTCAGCAGTTGGCAGCTTAGAGAAGAAAGAAAGACAGTGTAATAAGGACGGAAGGATGTGTGAAATGCGGCTAATGTAATTATTTTCCTCAAAGTAAATGTCAAAGTTGTCTACTGCTTCTGCCATCAGTAATTTTGATCTAATGACTAGTAATGTGTGTTTTTCCTTTATTTTCTAAGCAATTCTAATGAATGGTTCCACATCTAAAGTAGAGTCAGACAAGTTCATATCTCAACCAACGGTTCCAAATGAAGGGAAAAAGCAATCCAAACACCCTAAACGACTTACTGGGAGAGGGACAGGATGGTCGGAGGGGGAGGCAGCAATGGTAGGACGCTGAGACTTTCTCAGTTCTTCTCGAGCTGCCGAGGGAAATTCAATGTAAAACGTTTATTAAAAAGAACTGATGTCAGATGGTGAAATAGATCTAACTTGAAATAAAATATGAGTCAACTTTATTCTCAACGGCCGCTAGCGGTGTAAGGAATAACTCTGAGCCTAAGTTTACTTAGACTGCCATATTGCCAAGATTGTTGATCTTCCGCCATAGGCAGTCATACATATTACGGAAAGTATGCCGGACATAACACCAAATTGAGCTTTAAAGGCCTAAATAATGTACCTTGGTGGTAAGCACTTGCAACGCTCGTAAACATGGTGCAAAGCGGTCAACCAAGCGTGAATCAAATCGCAAAATGGTAGAAGAGACGTGGATTTTGCAAAGCTAATGCTAAACAACAATGGCGTCGTTTGCAAACAGTCACCATGGAGACGCTCTTGCGAGATCACAACGTTTTTAAAGTGAACTGGCAATTTAAAAGACCTCAAGAATATAAAAGAAGGTCATGAACTTCCAATGTTATGTTTACCAACACACCCGTGAAGATACGGGTCAGAATGGGGCGTACCGCCGTACTACCACTGTGGACCTAATCACCGATACGAGCCACTTAAAGCTGACTTCTGGTTTCCCGCTATAACCTCTAGTACACTCGCGCCACCTAGCGAGAAAATTTGGGCGGTGTCTCCCATTGGGTTCAGCAATACATGCTTGTCATCGTATCCTTAATACCTAGATCGACGCTCATGCTGTTGATCACTGAATTGTCTGGTTCAGACCCGATTATTTACAGACCGCAGCCATATATAGCTGAGTGCGACGTAAACAACAACCAAACCAAACCGAGAGTCGGAGTCCAGATAAAGGTAATCGTATGTGAATAAGCTCCTCTCAGTGATCTATCATCTTTACACGCCTTGCTGCGAAATGATACGGCTGTTTTCAACATTTGTTTCCTGAATACATCGTGCCAGCAGGGCCACGGCGCATTTTAAAGAGAGCACATATATTTCAAATAAATTTTATAATTTGTACTTATTTACTTTTTATAATATTATATCTCGGTTTCAACTTATGGGTGAAAAGTATTTTACAAACTGGCATGTTGATTGGCATTCAGCCGCGGCACTTAAGAGTTTTCGCGTGTATGTTATTGTGTCATGCTAGTGAGGAGTTAACTCAGAAACATTCTGCCAATGCAAGTGTTACGTATTTGTTGTCATTATAACTAAAACAAATAGATAAAATAAATTGGTCTAAATATAATCGTTTTGCTTGATTAAGCGTGACGGTAACATTGACAATTTCTATTTGATTTACGAAATCATTGTAATATACTAGGCACATAAAGAAACTGTGCATACAAAAATTTAAAATCTAAATTTATCAAACCTGTGTAGACACATAAGGATTTAAACTCAGAGATTAGTGACATGTATCCAACATGCATGCACGTGTCACGTTCCATGACGTCAGTGGGTTCGTCCTTGAGACGTGCAATACGTTGTTGCACGTGCATTCCGGGAAAGAGAAACAGAGCAAATGAATGCCACACAATACTGTCACTTTGGAAAGCTCAACCCCTGCCCTTGCGATCGTTAAAAAAATTAAACGGCTATTGAAACGCATATCATGCCAAGGCTCACGTCTGCACAACGTCATGAGGCCATTGGGATGGTCCGTGGGGGAATGTCTCAACGACAAGTGGCTACACATTTCCACTGCCACGGGAACACCATTTCTGCACTGGTGAGACGCAACCAGAACACAAATGACGTCATCGATCGGCCACGTTCCGCACGTCCACGTGTAACAACGCCAAGACAGGACAGATGGATAAGGGTGACTTATCTTCGCCACAGGTTTCAGACTGCAGTGATGACTGCCCGAACCATCCCAGGACTTCGCCGTATCCACCCCAACACAGTTCGACAACGTTTACGTCATCACGGGATCAGACCACGACGTCCCGCCATACGCCTATCCTGACACAAAGTCATCGACAAGCTCGCCGAATGTGGTGCCGAATCATGTCCGCAGACCCTTGTTTTGTTGGAGAAATGTTGTTTTTACAGATGAGTCCAGGTTTATCATTTCCCATAGTGATGGATGTCAACGTGCCTATAGACGCGTGGGAGAACGTTATGCACAGGCCTGTGTCTTGGAGAGGAATCGCTTTGGCGGTGGTTCCGTGATGATTTGGGGTGGAATAACAGCACGCCAAAGAACTCCTTTGGTGATTGTTCAGGGCAACTTAACTGGCTACAGGGATCAGATTCTTCGACCTGTGGCAATTCCTTTTCTGAAACGTCATGGCCCTGGGTTAACATTCCAACAGGACAATGCCCGCCCTCGTACGGCAAGTTTTGCTATGGATTTCTTGCAACACCACAACGTTGACATACTGCCTTGGCCTGCAAATTCACCGGATCTCTCCCCGATAGAGCATGTTTTGGACGAGATGGAAAACGTCTACGCCGTCTTCCTCATACGTCAGATAACGTCCTTGACCTTGCAACAGAACTTGAGAGAATCTGGCGTGACATCCCACAAGCCTTCCTTGCACGTTTGATTGGCTCTATGTGTCGTCGATGCACTGCTGTTCTCAATGCCGATAGTGGACATACCCGGCCGTTTTTGAGCTTGTGACATGGTCGTTTGACCCATGTCCCGCTTGTGGACTCGTGACGTCATTGTCCCGACTTGTTATGGTCTCATGATCCCTCCATTAAAGTTTATATGTACCTTTGACATTGTTATCGTACTTATCAACTGGGATAATATTTTGACAATGCAGTTTCTTTATGTGGCTAGTATATATCCATTTCTAATTCTTTCTACGATACACTTCCCATGCATGTTGTGATGGCTGGCCATCACGAAGATTTAGATAATATTCCTGCATTTTAATTGCAAAATTCATAAGTTATAAAAGCTTGTAAATGATTAGGCATCATGACATATCTCATAATCTCCATCTGTATTTCCATCTGCAGTGCAGATATTATTATTATAATTATCGTGTAATTAGTTTTGCAGCTATAAACGAGTATTATTGGCAACCTCTTCTTCCCGTAATTCAGTGTTTTGAAATCTGTTTTGGTAAGAAATCTAGCAAATGATCGTAGCATGTTGTTTTGAGCATTATAACATGTATTGCATTCGTAAAACATCATAAGCTCGTGCCATCACATTACGCTATGTTTACAATACAGTTGTACTTTATAAGAGTCAATGTCAACAACGTCGCCTGTCAGAACGATTTTGTTTACCTTTTCAAGGGTTTTAAATTGACCGTAACTTTTTGACATTTCTTCGCTCTAAGCGTCCAGTTACGAAAACTAACTATCAGATATGGATTAATCTTACCTTGTCCTTCGACAAACTGATCATAATCCCTTGACACTCGTTAATTATCCATTCTTTGTTGAATTTGTGATCAGGGCCGAGCTACATACTTTGGTGACGCCCGCCATTTTAACTTTGTGACAGCCAGTCTATTTCGCAACGGGGTTACCGCTACTTTTGACTCATATTAGTGTTTTCCACTGTAAAGTTTATGTAATCTTGTGAATTACGTACAGAGGAACCCAGAATTGTACTTGATGATGTATCAGGTCATGTTTCAAAGCCGATGTTTATTCTGACATCGGGCACTATGTGATTTCCACTGTTGTATTCATACGCGATGTTCAGCATCATTATTTATGAACGTGTTTTTCATAAATATGACTTCCAGTACCATTGTCAAATTGTATAAGGGGCTGAGTCATGTTTTTAAACATCTTATGTGTCAGATAAACTCCGATTGCCTCCTGACATCTGTAATCTTCCTCTTTGAATTGTCCATCATAATTCCCAGCCGATGCTGCTTGTTGATATTACGTCCCCTCAGCAGACAGCAAGGACGTAGCAAGACGTAGAGAGACGCAATATTGATGATCTTATGATATTGGAAGGCATTTAATGAATTAATTACACATAATTAATTGGTTGGTAAAAATAGTCATTTTCCTACCTGATTACCTCCTGAGATAATTCGCCTTCCTCTTTCTTTCAGTGGTTTCATGTTGTGAAAGTAGATCCCTCAAAAGAATAAGGACGTACCGGGACGTAATATCTCGTAATTTGATTAGTCTAGAACTGACATGTGACCATTTTCTCACACCTATAAATACGGTGAGACCCATGTTGGGTCATTCTGACTTTGGCAGTCTACAGGTCAGTTTCAAACCAAGGGCAGATAATTCAGCCCAAATGTTCCCCTTGTCCTTACATAGTTATAATAGCTGATGCTATAGATAGACTGCACTTTTCGAACACAGACACAAATTAATCTTAGTAACTATCAAGTTATTCAGATTACCCAGATAATTAATCCATCACTATATATATATAACAGTTAAGACAAAGGTCATACTTATATTGCCCTTACACTGGTCCATGCACATAAACCTTAAGCTTGAGAGGGATCTACTTATAAAAAAAAGAGCATTGTGCTGAGGTACATTTATACCTATGAATAAAAAGCTATTTATTCCTTGAAGTGTTCGACTCTTCCTGAAAACAAGACTGACAAGGTTTATTAGATGTTTGAGTCCCGTCCGCCACAATAATATCAAACGATTAAGGCGGTACATGTAATGATAGTTAAACGGATCTCTCGAAATAGGAGACAATGCTACACGGCGTGAAATTTGAAGTTGTTTTGATTATGTTTCATAAGGAACACAAGTCAGCGCCAGTCGACACACTTTTATGGCTAGATGTGTGTGCGCGTGTCCATGTGCGTGTGTGATGAAGATGATGATTTCCATGGAGATGCATGTTTGTGACTGACCATCCCCTAAATTTATGTACAAAGTAAGTGACATAATTGCTGACCCCACCCCCAACCCCTAGTACGTGTAAAAAATTGATGCCCCTCTCCCTCCCCAGTTCAAATGGGTGACTCCCCCATTTCATTTCCCCTCCCCTCTTTACACACACACACACACACAGAAAAAGGAAAAAAAAAAGAATAAATAAATAATTTAAAAAGAATTATGAACGGTCCCTAGCACGAGACCATATCTTCGGGTCTCACCATCTTGAAACCATGTGAAACACTAGTGTTGATGAACTATAATTCCACGTTCCATCAATGAACATGAACGTTATTTTCGTAATTCAAGTAAAATGTTGGCGAAACGCATAACGTCGAACATCGTAATAAGCCATGTTTTTTTATTGAAACAAGAACGTAGGATTTTGAGAACACCAATATCTTTACTGACACAATAATACAACAAATGCAAACCTAAGTGTTTACATTGTACCAATAAGAAATATACTCTGCATTTTTGTATGTATAAGTGTATCTCTGTATGTAAAGTTAACAAATATTGTAACCAATAGGTAGGACTATTCAGTGAATTTATGATCAACTGGCAGGAATAATCTAAACAACGTACATTTTTCATCTTTTAACTCTCAATAGGTTTTCGGTAATGATGTCGATTAAACACAAGGCTGACTCTATCTTTCTTTCAAAAATTTGTTTCTGATGATGATCGGTTGAATCCGATCAAAGAAAAGCAACTTTTCATCACAATGTAACTCCCCTTAGGCAAGGAGTGGTATCG